CTTTAGTCTTTTCACCTTTACAGATTTTCTTTATGCACCAAGAGCTTGTAACACTCCAAAGAGAAAGGAGAAATTTAAATTGCATCATATGACCCCTTTAAAGAAGCCTCTCTCTCTCTCAGCTTTTCCTTTCCTATTTTTCCAAACTGTAATCTGTAATTAATTTACACATAGTAGTCTCTCTTTCTGTTGTTCATCATGGCATATTTTTAAAACTCAGAATCAAATTTTTACCAATTCTTTCAGAAAGCTGTTAGAATTAACAGGGAACTTGAACTCAAAGCTCCCAATGCTGATCTTGAAGAATCTGCCAAGGAGGCTGAACAAGTCCTTCAAAGGTTCAACCCTTCACAGGTTTTGTTGAACACATTTAGTTATAACTGATTTACTTTAATGAACGCATCCTTATATGTGTTGATAATATCTTTCCTTATAGTCCTTCCTCTCAAATATTTTAGTCACAGATCATTTAACACACTGTCTCAACATGTATATATTTCTCCTTGTTTCAGCTGAAATGGAAGACCAAAGGAAGGACTGTCATGGGATTTGAATTTGGCCATACTGTGCGTTTACAGAGAAGACCAAAAGTTGCAAAGGCAAACACTTCCAACGGTACGTCGGTGTTGATCTGAGCACCTTGACTGAACTGTACTGCAGTTACATTATGAGGCCTGCAGCAGACAATCTAACATTCCACTCTGGAGAATAATCTCTTGGGCACACAGAGATTTATGAGAGGGCTAAAGTCTGAGACGTACTGTTACACCTGGCTCAAAGATGTAACATTAAGGGAGACGACACGGCGGAATAACTTAAAACACAATATTTATTACAACGAAACAACCAAAATCAACAATCACAAAAGTCAGTCGGCCTGTCAGTAATAATCAGTATGAAATGCAGGTGAATCAAACTGCTCGAGCAACAGAAGAGCAGCCGCCCTGACGAACTCTCGCACCAGGTTTAAATAACAGCCATGACGAGCATCAGGTGCGCTCCAGTCACACTCCAATCACAGAACCTGCCACAGAGAAAAAGAGACCAAAACACCCAAACCAACACAACTCAATCCTAACACCCCCCAAAAGAAATCCCACATCAAAACTAATAATAATAAAAATAATAATAATAATAATAATAATAATAATAATAATAATAATAATAATAATAATAATAATAAATGACATACTTAGAGGTCGGTCAACTCACATCAATTGGAGACAGAAACACCATCTCCTCACTCCACCACGGGGGCACGTGACAGGGTGTCCGCCAAAACATTCTCAACTCCCTTAATGCGTTTAATCGACAAGTTATAAGGCTGTAAGAAAAGTATCCATCTCATTAAGCGTTGGCTCGGACTCTGTAATGTGTGAAGAAATGTCAAAGGATTGTGATCCGAATAGATGACAACTGAGGACCCTCCCCCCACATACACAGCAAAGTGTTGAAGTGCCCAGATCAATGCCAGCGTTTCCTTCTCAATAACAGAATAATTCAATTGATAAGAATTAAACTTACGTGAGATAACTAACTGGATGACTAATACCACCAAAATGAGTCTGGAGAAGAACTGCTCCTGCTCCCACTTAACTTGCGTCAACCTGAATCTCAAACGGAAGACCACTGTGGGGCGCTGCTAATACAGGAGCAGCAGTCAACAGCAACTTCACATTCTCAAATGCTTTTTGACAATGGGGGGGTCCACTCAAATTTAGCAGACTTCTTTAAAAGATTAGTCAACGGACAAATGACCAATGAAAAATTGGGGCAAAAATTGCAATAGTAACCAGCCATCCCAATAAACCTCATGAGCTCTTTTTTAGTACAAGGAGTAGGGAAATTTTCTATTGCGCTCACCTTAGCTCGCAAAGGGCGCACCATACCTTGGCCCACCTCCTTTCCCAAATAAGAAACCGTTGCCCGTGCAAAATCACATTTAGCTAAATTCACGGTTAAATTAGCCTCCACTAGACGCCGAAATAATTCCCGTACCAGTGTCACATGCTGATCCCAGCTATCGCTGTAAACTATAACGTCGTCCAAATAAACCGTGCAGCCTTCTAAACCAGAGACTACACTATTCATTAATCTTTGAAATTTCACTGGAGCATTGCGTAACCCGAAGCTCATGACAGAATAAGTGTACAGCCCGAAGAAGTTATAAAAGCAGTGATTTCCTATGCTCAAGGTGTCAAAGGCACCTGCCAGTACCCTTTAAGTAAATCGAATTTCCTGACATATCTCGCCGAGCCCACTTGATCAATGCAATCCTCCATCCACGGGAGTGGAAAAGCGTCAGGTTTGGTGATTTTATTAATTTTTCTATAGTCCATACAAAACCTGAACGTTCCATCCGGTTTTCTAACCAGCAAACACGGCGAAGCCCAACTCGAACAAGACGGTTTTGCAATGTTATTTTTCAGCATATACTGAATCTCTGACTCCAACTTTAGACGTTTTTCAAAAGGGACACGATAAAAGCGCTGGCGTATAGGTGAAACATCACCCACATCCATGTCGTGCTCTATTAAATGAGTTTGTGATGGACCGTCTCCAAACAATGATGGAAATTTGTGTATCCAACCCTCTACGGACACCTTGGCAACTAAAACTTGGTAACCATGAATGAATGCATATTTGTCATTTTAACTGAACTTAGGACTGGTGGTGGTGTTTAAGATATTGTTGGTCATAGGTAATAGTAATTATTATTAAAAGATGCTACTACTACTACTACTATTATATGCTGGGTTCATGAATATTAATCACGTTGTCAGTGTTCGCTCGAACTGATTTGCTGAAATCAAAACAGGGACGATAATAGATGAGCGCCAGCCAGTGAGATTGTCGTTTGAGCATTAGTTCAGCCCACTACCGGAAAACCCGGCAGTTCTTTAAAAGCAAAATAATTCCAAAGGAGCGCTGTTATTTTGACAAGAAAATACAAAAACAATGATGGAAATTCGTGTATCAACTATGACAACTCTGCTCGCTGCAAAACAGATAAATGGGACAACAACCTCTCCAAATCTTTCAAAGTCTCAGAATTTTTTAATCGAGGTTGCATTACAGCATCATCTAGAACCTTAACCCCTTCCTTCTCTCCCACCGAAGACTGACCCGACCCTTCAGTCACCGGACTGACCACCGCAGATGATTTAACATCAGTTTGCGGGAGAAAAAAGGCTTCAATAAATTTACATAACAAATTTGGGTTATTTTGTTTCTGTCTGGAGTTGCGATTTCATAATTAAGATCGGACAGTGCACGCACAACAGTATATGGTCCCACAAATTTCGCGCAGAACGGAGTGCCCACTAAAGGCAGCAATGCCAAAACCTGATCCCCAGGATTAAATACGCGCTGTTCAGACTGCCGATCAAACAACTTTTTCATCTTTATCTGCGCCTTTTCCAAAATTTTCCGTGCTGCTTGACCAGCTAAAAACAAGCGTCTTCTAAAACCGTTTACATATTCAAGCAGACTTTTTGGTGGCTGTTTACCTTTTAACTGATCACCCACAACGGCAAGCGGACCGCGCACCTTATGCCCAAAAACTAGTTAATTTGGAGTAAAACCTAAACTAGATTGCGTGACCTCCCTTGCGGCCAACAAAAGCCATGGAATTCCTTCCTCCCAGTCTCGGTTTAATTCAACGCAATACGCACGTAAAAGAGACTTAAGCGTTTGGTGAAACCGTTCCAGTACTCCCCGACTCTGAGGATGGTATGCGCTGGAACGGTGATGCTGAACTCCCAACTGCTTTAAAATTTCCGAGAACATGTTAGACGTGAAATTCGTTCCCTGGTCACTTTGAATGACCTTAGGGATAACGAAGATTGAAATGAATTGAGACAGGGCTTTTACAACGGACCGAGTATTGAGGTTACGCATCGCATAAGCCGCTGGGTAGCGAGTACTTTGACACATTACAGTCAAGAGAAATTTACTTCCCGACTTAGAGGGAGGTAACGGGCCAACACAGTCTACTAACAGATGTTCAAAGGGTTGCTCCACTGGAGGTATTGGATACAATGGAGCTCGTTTCAGTGACTGATTAAGTTTTCTGGTCACTTTTGACAGGTATGACAGGTTTTAATAAACCGAGAGATATCTTTTTTTCAACAGCGGCCAATAAAAATGCTGCAAAACTCTGTCATATGTCTTTTTTACACCTAAGTGCCCGGCTATATCGCCGTGAGCCAATCGGAGTACAACATCTCTGAATTTCTCAGGTACAACAACTTGAACAAGTGACACACCACCGCAATCTTCTCTTTGGGCAAGCCACTTGCGCAACAGCACCCCATCATATATAAAGTATCCAGTCGCAGCACTGTACACATCCTCAGGAGGGAGAACATCAACAAACAAATTTTTCAACCCAGGATCATCCCTCTGGGCGATGACGAGTTCTGCACGAGAAATTCTAGACAACAGAGACGATCCAGGAGCGACCAATTTAACCGGTACGCGGGTATCACACAAGTTAACATCCTCATCATTCAGCATTTTGGTCTTAGACCGCGTCACAACACAAGACGCATCCTCCGATAACTCACAACACCCTTGATCGGGAAAGGAAGACGGGGTGACAATCGGTGAAGGGGCCAGTACCGGCCACACACTCTCACCAGCCAAGTTGTTACCCAAAATGACCTCCACTCCCTCCACCGGCAAAGAAGGGCGCACTCCCGTAGTCACTTCTCCATTGACCAACTGGGACTGAAAAAAATAAACTTGTGCAAAGGAACAGACAATGTTTGGAGTGTAATCCCTCGGATTAAAACATTCTTACCAACATATGAACTGGATGAAAATGGCAGTATGGAATCCAAAATGAAAGACTCTGAAGATCCAGTATCTCGCAAAACTCTTACCGGTACACACTCATGTCCCTCTAGAAGAGAAACAAACCCTTCCGAAATAAATGGTGCATACCCTGTGTTGTGTTTAATTTCAAAACAACTCATTTTTTTCCACGGACAGGTTTCCCGTACAGCGTACAGACGGCGCATGCGGCAAGCAACTCGTTAAAAGCACAGGCGCATAATTTTTATTCTTGCCACGCCCCTGCAAGTACAGGACATTCATTCTTCCAATGTCTGACTTCCAGACAATAACGACACATAGAATCAGATATCACCCTCTGAGAAGGTGAATTTCGATCACTGCGTTGCGATTGTTTACGGTGAAGATTACCATTACCTCGATTCCCATAACTAAATCGATTCTTGTGAGTCAGAACGAAATCATCTGCTAATGATGCAGCTTCAGTGGCAGTGCAAGGTTTATTTTCGTTAATATACACTGCAATTTGATTGGGAACAATGTTTTTTAACTGTTCAATAACCATCATTTCGCATAACTCACTGAATGACTGTACGTTCGATGTTGTACACCAGCGATCAAAATGGTTACTTAACTCTCGTGTAACCTCCACGTGCGTTTGTCTCTCACTTCTTCTCCAAGAACGAAAACGCTGTCGATAAGCTTCTGGAACCAACTCAAAAGCTTTTAGCACAGCAGATTTTACACTATCATACTTCTTTCTTTCCTCTAGCAGTATATGCCTCCTGAACTTTCCCCACTAAAACAGATTGAAGCATAACTGTACGGTCGGTCTCAGGCCATCCCCGTTCGTCTGCTATGCTTTCAAATAAAGAGAAAAAGACGTCAGGATCTCTCTCGTCGAATGCAGGCAACAATTTCAAATTACCGGTATTAATTATATCAAAAGGACGGTCTGCGCGATCACTAAATGATCTGCCCTCACTTCGAAGTCTCAAACTCTCAACTTTTAACTGAAACTCTTGATTTTGTCGTTCTGCAGCTAATTTTTGCTCATGTTTAAATTTTTCAAAGTCCATCTCACGCGGTTTCATCAAATCATCTAATTTACGTTTTTCTATTTCTATCTCACAAACACGCATCTCCTTTTCATGCAACTGTTGCATTTCAATAAGCTCTTTCTGCTGCTCAAACGACAAAATGAATGAAACTGATTTTGGAGCTGCAGGATTAACCCCAGCTGTTACTCGTTTCGACGTAATTAATAAAATCTGAAGATCGCTCAATTTGTTTCTTATTTCTCTGGCCTCATCTTTTCTCAAACGCTTTTCAACGCCACTTAATTCAAATCGTTTTTGGAAGATTTAACTCATCTGAAGGAGCTTTATAGAATTCTTCAATTGATGTCAATTCACAAATCGAATTTACACAAATTAATCCAACAATCAATTCGGCCTACCTATACTTCTAATTACGATTCAGCTCAGGTAATTCTTACGGTCAAAAAAATTGTGCACACATTCTCCACCTCCCCACCTAATCTTAACAAAACCCTCTAACTAACTACTCCCAGTCTTCATGTGCTCCCAAGAGTCAAGCCCT